AGAGAAAAGAACAAGAAATAAAAATATAAAAGTAGAAAAAGTAATACAAAACAACAAAAATATGAAATGCTTAAGGCCGAAATTAGGTAAGTTTGAAATAAACAAATAAAAGATGTAAATGGAATAGAAACAAACGTTAAAGATGACATCATATATATATATATATATATATATATATAATATATATATATATATATAATATATATATATATATATATAATCCACCATTTCTACTCAGAATTATATAAAACAAAAAAGGAACCACCAGAAGAAATTAAAAACCAACTTAAGGTCAAATAAAAAATGTCAACTCAGAGCCAAAACATCGGAAGGGACCGGATGTGCTTTCTACATTCCATCCAAGTCAATGGAAAAAATGTTCAAACTACCTCTCAATTATTCAATTTTTAGTGCTGAAGCACTTGCAATTCTTGAAGCCTTGAAATATTTCGACAGTTTAAACAATAATGCAGTTTTAATAATATCCGATTCATTATCAGTTTTATTATCTCTCAAAATACAAAGTTTCCCAATTATAATTCTAATCCTTTTATTTACCAAATTAAGAACATGCTTGTCAACCTTAAAAATAAAAATAAAACTACGAATTTTATTTGGGTAAAGGCTCATGTTGGTATAAAACATAATGAGCATGTTGATTCTATTGCAAAAGCTGCAATAACCTCGACAGCTGAAATTTTACCAGATGAGAGAATTTGTGTTCCTGATGCTTTTCTCATCTCTAAAAAAAATCAAACAGATCGTTGGAAGACTTCCTGGCAAACTTTTTTGCGACCATTCAACAACACAATACGTGCATATACAACCACACATCCCTAATTCCAGATGGTTTAAGAATTTCAATACCGCTCGTAAATATACAACAACTTTAATAAGATTGAGATTTGGCCACGCTTGTTATCCTGTTCATCTTGCTCAAATTAAAATATATAATTCAGACTTATGCGAAACTTGTCAAGAACAAGGAGATCTTAACCACATCTTTTTTAAGTGTTCCAAATATCTTCACCTTTGTTTTAACCCAATTGTTGTTTACCTTTCTTTCCGTGACCTATTGCTAGTAATGTCTTAAACAAATGTCCTGATGGGTCCCTGGACGAGAAGTGAGTATCCCTGTTTTTCCTTATATTTGTTTTTTCTTGCTATAATTTTCTCTTTTTATTTGATTCAGTTATAGGGATTTTATACGGTTTTTTGACTAGAATAGACACACTTTATGTACACTTATGTATGCACTTATGTGTATGCATACATTTTATTTTTTTTATTTTTTTTTTAGTATTAATTATATTGGAATATTGATATTATTAATTGTTCTTTTATTATTTCTCTATACGTAATTGGCTAAATAGCTAAGTGTTAAAGCCACAAAAAAAAAAAAAACTCAGAGCTGAAGCCCGAAATAAGCAAATCAGAAATAAAGAAGGCGTTGAAAGAAATGAAAAACAACAAATCGCCTGGAAAAGATGGAATAACTACAGAGATGCTGAAATATGGTGGAAAAGTGGTAATTAATACTCTACATTCCCTTTTTAACAAGATATTAAAAGAAAAAGAATCCCAAACAACTGGAAGGAATCAGTAACCATTATCCTACACAAGAAAGGGGATAAAGCAGATATAAAAAACTACCGTCCTATAACACTCCTCAATGTAATGTATAAACTCCTAACAAAAATTTTAACCAATAGATTGACGACAAAATTCAATGGATACCAGTCGAAAGAACAAGCTGGTTTTAGAAAGGGATTCAGCACAAGTGATCATTTACTAAGTATGAAAATACTTATAGAACGAGCAAATGAATACCACATGCCTCTATATATGGCGTTCATAGATTTCGAAAAGGCTTTCGACAGTGTCGAACATTGGGCAGAGAAAAAGTTCTTTGATTAACAGCCGAATTGACCACAGATACACGGAACTAATAACCAATATATATATATATATATATATATATATATATATATATATATATATATATATATATAAGGAAGCCAAAATTAAAGTATATGAAGGAACAAAATCATTACAAATAAGTAGAGGCGTGAGACAGGGTGATACAATATCACCGAAACTTTTCAATCAGGCTCTTGAAGATACTTTTAAAAGATTAGAATGGGAAAAAAATATAAAAATTTGTGGACAACGCTTGAACCATCTAAGGTACGCTGATGACATCGTATTGATAACCGATAAAAAAGAAGAATTATTTGAAATGATGAAAGAACTTGACGTAGAAGCTGGAAAGATAGGCCTTAATATGAATTACAGCAAGACGAAAACTATAACAAATACAGATGAAGACATCACAATGAGAATCGGACAAGATGAAATAGAACAAGTTAAGGATTATATATATATATATATATATATATATATATAATATATATATATATATATATATATATATATATATATATTATATATATATATATATGTATATATATATAATATATATATATATATATATATCTTGGTCAAACTATAAAACTTAACAAAGAGAACCAAAGAGCAGAGATCAAGAGACGAGTTAGGCTGGCATGGGCGGCATTTGGCAAACTAAGCTACATTCTTAAAAACAAAAGATATTCACAGTATCTTAAGACCAAAGTATATAATTAATGCGTAATCCCTGTTCTTACTTATGGTTCCCAAACGTGGACATCTACAAAATCATAAAAAACCCAAAGAGCAATGGCCCCAAATGAGATGGGCAGATGATATCAAGAAGCACGTGGGCTCTAGATGGATGACTGTAGCGACAGACAGAGAAGAATGGAAAAGGATTGGGGAGGCCTATGTCCAAAAATGGACCGAAGAAGGCTAATTAGATAGATAGATTGTATAGTGTAGAAGTGTGGACGCTAAAAGTATCGATCATAAACACAATTGAAGCACTGGAAATGTGGGGTCATAGACGAATGCTGACGATACCTTGGACAGCAAGGAAAACTAATGAAGAAGTACTAAGGAGCGTCAACAAAGATAGAGAACTACTAGAGACTGTTAAATATCGAAAAAGTTTTATCTGGGGCATATAGTAAGGGGAAATCGATATAAAATATTACCCTTAATTATTGATCCTTAAAGGCAAAATAGAGGACCGTAGAGGTGTAGGAAGAAAACAAGTTTCTTGGTTAAAAAACATTCGTGAATGGACTCAGATACCAAATGAAGGACAATTATTCCATATTGCAGAAGATCGAGAAGCTTTCGCAATGGTGATCGCCAACGTCGGATAATTCTGATATCGCATGCGAAGAAGAAGAAGTAATTATGGTAAGTGGCTGGAATAGTACCTGACCTACAAAGATCTTGTAGATCTTTTAGTTTCTTAGGCTCTATTCCTAAAGCAGAAGGATACAGTTTCGGAACCTCACTGAAAACATTGTTGTCAACTCGAGTGTTTCTACGAATGCACAATTGTTTGAAGTCTACTTTACTAAGTTGTGTTTTATAGAAGGTTTTTTTTTACTTAATTAGATGGCTTTGGTAAAGACCAATTAGCCAGTATAGAAGGTTATATCAAGGTGTTCTTTTCTATATTGCAGCTATTTGATATTTAGCCACTTCATAACATCGCCATCGACTGTCTTCGTTTTGTTAACTAATTTTTCGCTGTCAGTTTTAAAATCTAAAAAATAGCTGTAATCTAATTCCTTAACGACGTATAGAGAGTGATTTACTTTGGCTGTTCTTGCCACTGCGTACCACCCGTCAGGCACATATATATTTATTTTTCACCCCCTACTTTCAATCGCAGAATGAACACTATCGCATTCCATTTCGGAATGTCCGGATTCCAAAAACTGTTGATTAATAATTTGTAAATTATCAAACGAAGACAAAGCTTTTACAAGCATTGCAGATAAAATGGAATTTCTATTTTGACCTGTTGCAGTATCAGAATAAAATGTTACTTCACTCACTTCAGATAGTAGCTCAGAAAGCATGTTTCATAAGAATGTAGCAGCTACTTCTGATGAACCTTTTGTACCATTCAATTCATGCCACATGTAGTTAATAGCAACAGTAGTTTTGAGATTATACACCATAAAATTGTAGGTTTTTAGTTTCCGTTTATAATATAATTGCCCCGCTTCTAATTTTGGGGTCAGTAAAAGCTTTTCCATACCCATAGTTAAGGTGTTAAAGGAATTATCAATTTTACCTGTCAATTTTCTTATGCTCTCTAGCCTCCTTTCGAAATTAATATAGTGTTACGATTTTAAATGTTATGGCGTATAGAACTGTAAATATTTTATGACTAATTCTTTTTTATTGATTCTCGTAATTTCTAGGTCAAAAATCTACCTGACACCCTTTGGGTCCCCTTCGCTAAAAAAACAAGAATCGAACTTTCTGGGGACGAGCCGATGAAAAACATACCAGTTTTAGATCATTGCCGCTGTGTCTACGTCGAGAACGGCATCGTATTTTCTACAACATTCTGTTTACCAGCTGGTTTCAAATAAATAACGGAAGATTTTCGTTGAGCAGTTAGTCAAAAAGAAGATCGCGATCTCGCGTTAAATTGTAACGAACGCAAATAAATTATTTGTAATTATTAAGTGTAAAATAAATTAGTATAAAATAAAGACTTTTGACAAATTATCGTGAGTTTTAATAAATTAGAATAAAGACAATATATTAGAATAAAGACAATAAATTAGGACTAATAAAAAACATAACAATAGATTGTATTCATCTTGATGTTTTTTTTTTCGTCTTCGATTTTATTTGTGAATTGCGTGAAAAAGCTACGTTGGTCTTTTTTGATAGTTAAATTCGGTGCTGAATATATGTTTATAATAATAAAACGACACTGAATCTTCCTGATACTCTTTGCAGTAATTTAAATAATCCTAGTAAAGTCGTTTTTCAGACAAACCAGAAGGTAAGTATTTCTTCTTGGTTGAACTTCGACAATAGTGAGAATCAATCACTGGTAGTGATTTAATGTGATTACATACTACCTCCTTTTGATTATCTGGGATTTTATTGGGGGGAACTTTTCGACCTCTCTTGTCCTCCTCTATGATACCTAACGACTTTGACTTTTTTAAAGCCATTTCAAATTTTTTTCCAGATATATCAAATGTACCAAGAAAAATTTTTTTATAAACTTGGATGTTCTCGTCATCCAACCTTAAAATATCAGTGATTAGGTATTTTTTACGTAATTCTACTACTGATAAAACTCCATCTTCCTCTATCATCTTGAATGGAGTGAAAATCATCAAATAATTTTTGCCTCTTTTCCTTGCTAATTTTTTCTGTACACCTATAGTGACATTTACAATTAATGGGTTTAACAGATTTTCCTGTAACAATATTATCTTTTACGAAAGATGTTCCTTTCCAGAAAGTCTGAGGCTCCTTTGTTGATTGGGTTTCCAAGTTGATGGAAGCCTTTTGCATTTACGTGAAATAGATGTAGATACGGTTTCTGTGCTATTATTTATAATCTGGCCTGAAGAAGGACCTGGTTCCGAGATGTTCTGTGTAGAGGACACTACTGTAGACTGACTGCTGTCTGAAGTACTTTCAGTTGAACTACCAGGTGTGTAGTAAAAGGATCTTCTTCGCTTGAGTCACCTAAAAACAAAACAATTGATAAGTGCACATAAGTGAAGTTTACATTCAAAATGAACTCATCGAACTATAGCGCTGGTTAATCATAGCATTGCCAATAAAAATATTTCAAATTTTTATTTGTTTAACAAATTTGTATAAAAAATAAAACTCGTCAGTTTAACTTTAAATTATCAAAATTCTATAGAAATACTTACTATTTTATTTACTTTTAACTATTTTATTGAAACACTATTTATTGTAAAACTACCGATTTAAATAAAAATATATATTATTATCATTAGATAAATAATTTACCTGTCTCAACTTCATGTGTAGTCATCAGTAAATTCGTTTTCAAATTAACCATCTCCACCATTAATTGTGCACGTGATGAATACAACATTGTACGTTTTTAGTTTGATTAAACTTTTCTATGCAACAAGATTTTACACTCAAATCAATGTCATCATCATCAATCAGCCAATCGCATCCACAGCTGGACATAGGCCTCCCTCAGTTCTTTCTAGTGTTCTCTACACTGGGCCGCTTGTAGCCAGTTTCCCGCTACACGTTTTATATCATCGGTCCATCTAGAGTGTTAAAGTCTCTGCTCCATAAGTTTTTACAGGCAAAACACATTGGTTATAAACCTTTCGCTTAAAAACACATGGGAATTGAACTTTTTAGAATATGGCTTCTTTAAAAAAAGCCTGAATGTACTATACTATAAAGGAACTGAAGAAGAATCATTAGCTGGTGTCGGTTTTCTTATTTCTAATCAGCATGTCCATAAGATTAGACAATATATTGGAATTTCAGAAAGGATTGCGGCTCTAATAATGGACATAAATAAAAATATAAGTTTAAAGATCATACAAATTTACGCCCCTACATCATCACATACGGATGAAGAAGTGGATATATTCTACGAATCATTGACACAAACAGTGAACAAATACAAAAGCACCTACACAATCATTATAGGCGACTTCAATGCCAAATTAGGGAGAAAAGTAGAAGAATCAGAAAATAAAATCGGCAACTTTGGATATGGAACACGAAACGAAAGAGGAGAAACATTAATGAACTATATGGAAACGAACGGTCTATATGCGATGAATACCTTTTTCAATAAAAAACCATAGAGAAAATGGACGTGGGTCGCGCCCAATGGTTTAACAAAAAATGAGATTGATTACATCCTATCCAAAGAAAAGAGCATAGTACAAGACGTTACGGTCATAACCATGATTTCAGTAGGAAGTGATCACAGAATTGTTAGAGCCAAAATCAAAATTAACTCCACAACAGACAGACAAAAATTTAAACCATCTAAAAAAGAGATAGATACCGAACTTCTTAAAGAACGCAAAGAACAATACATAAACCAGCTAAAAAGAAGTGACATATCACAGCTAAAGGGTCTGCAACTAGACGAATTAAACGATAAAATAACAACAGAAAAAAGGCCTAAAAATTAACTTCAACAAAACAAAAGTAATGACAAACACGGAAGACCAAGAGGCAATAAAAATAAAAACAGAAAAAATAGAACAGGTAAATGAGTATATCTATCTAGGACAAGCAATCAGAGCTAATAGAGAAAATCAAACAGCCGAAATATCGAGACGAGTAAGAATGGGATGGGCAGCGTTCGGCAAACTTTCTTACGTTCTAAAAAATCAAACCATCCCTCTATACTTACGAAGCAAGGTATATAACTCCTGTATCATACCGGTACTCACCTACGGAGCACAGACATGGACATTTACACAGGCCAATTTGGATAGGATAAGGAAGGCACAAAGAGCGATGGAGAGACAAATGTTGGGTGTATCACATAGAGATAAAAAACGTAACCAGTGGATCAGAACCAGAACAAAGACAGTAGACGCGATAGAACAAGCAGCAAAACTGAAATGGAAATGGGCTAGACACAATGAAGGTCTCCAAGACGGACGATGGAACAATGCCATCGAAAAGTGGCGTCCATACAATGCAAAGAGATCAAGAGGCAGACCACAGATGAGGTGGAAAGATGACATCAGGAAACAAGGAGGTCCCACATGGCAGAGAACAGCTCAAGATAGGGAAAGATGGAGAGAACTGGGCGAGACCTATATCCAACAATGAAAGGATAGAGAATAGGTTCAAAAAAAAAATGGCTTATTTTACCAAATGCTGCCCATGTTAGGCCTATTCGCCTCTGTATTTCATGTGTTTGATTGTCTCTGCATATTTTGATTTCGTGTCCCAGATATTTGTGTCTGTTTGTTGTATGGTATTATTGTCAATAGTTATATTTCCACTCATTACGAGATTTATTATAAGTTTAGTTTTCTCAAAGTTTATCTTTAATCCTGCTCTTTCAGACAGACTATTAAGCGAATGCATCATAGAAACTGTATCATGTAAGTTATCTGCGATTAATACAACATCATCTGCAAACCTTAGGTGATTTAATCTTTCTCCATCTATATTGATGCCCATATCATGCCATTGAGTACTCTTAAATATTGACTCTAGAGCTGCCGTGAACAATTTTGGTGAAATATTGTCTCCTTGTCTAACTCCTTGACCTAAGCTGAATTTTTCTGTGTCTTCGTGTAGTCATATACTTGCTGTAGCGTTCTCGTAGATGTTTTTGATTAGTGTCGTGTACCTGTAAACTATTCGGCTTTGATTTAGGGCTTCCAGTATTGTTTCAAACTCTACAGAATCAAAAGCTTTCTCGTAATCGACAAATGCAAGAACCAGGGACATGTTGTACTCGATGCACTTTTCTATTAAGATCTTTATGGTATGCAAATGGTCATTTGTGCCATATACTGTCCTGAAGCCTGCCTGTTCTTTGGGCTGATAGAAATCAAGTTTAGGTGTTAGCCTCTTTGTTAAGATTTTCATAAAGAGTTTGTACATATGTGTCAAGAGGCTGATGGGTCTATAATTTTCTAATTTAGTAATATCGCCTTTTTTGTGTAACAAGACTATTACTGCATTGTTCCAGTCTTCCCGAATCGTACCCGCATGTAAGCATTTATTAAACAGTTCGCTTACTGATTTTAATAAAATTTCTCCACCTGCTTTTATTGCCTCGATAACGAGTCAATATGGCTTAATTTGCCAAATGCTGCCCAAGTTAGGCCTATTCGCCTCTGTATTTCATGTGTTTGATTGTCTCTGCTTATTTTGATTTCGTGTCCCAGATATTTGTAAGTGTCTGTTTGTTGTATGGTATTATTGTCAATAGTTATATTTCCACTTGCCATTGAGTGCTTTTAAATATTGACTCTAGAGCTGCCGTGAACAATTTTGGTGAAATATTGTCTCCTTGTCTAACTCCTCGACCTAAGCAGAGTTTTTCTGTGTCTTCGTGTAGTCGTATACTAGATGTAGCGTTCTCGTAGACGTTTTTGATTAGTGTCGTGTACCTGTAATCTATTCGGCTTTGATTTAGGGCTTCCAGTATTGTTCCAAACTCTACAGAATCAAAAGCCTTCTCGTAATCGACAAATGCAAGAACCAGTGGTATGTTGTACTTGATGCACTTTTCTATTAAGATCTTTATGGTATGCAAATGGTCATTTGTGCCATATCCTGCCCTGAAGCCTGCCTGTTCTTTGGGCTGATAGAAATCAAGTTTAGGTGTTAGCCTCTTTGTTAAGATTTTCATAAAGAGTTTGTACTTATGTGGTAAGAGGCTGATGGGTCTATAATTTTTTAATTTAGTAATATCGCCTTTTTTGTGTAACAAGACTATTACTGCATTGTTCCAGTCTTTTGGAATCGTACGCGCATGTAAGCATTTATTAAACAGTTCGCTTACTGATTTTAATAAAATTTCTCCACCTGCTTTTATTGCCTCGATAACGAGTACATCATCACCAGGCGATCGATGGTTCTTCATTTCCTTTAAAGCTGCTCTTACTTCTGACACAGTAATGGGTAAAAGTATTTCCGATCCCTGATATATGAGAGTCTTTACTCGTGTCGGGAAATTGTCTTATGGTCTTTGGCTGGCATAGAGGTATTTATAAAACTCTGGTTATTTTCAGAATGTTTCTTTTATCTGTTGTTGCCGTTACGTCTTTACCTCCCAACTTGTATATTTCTTTTTTACTTTGTGTGAGTTTTCTTTTCATTATCTTTAAACCTCTGTTCTCTTCTACTGTTTGAGTAATTACATTAGTATTATATGTTCTTACATCTTTTCTAATTTCCGCTGAAATTCTTTTATTTGGTTTTTTATATTCTTCTTTGTTTCCCTTTTCGTTCTCGCTTAGGTTTCATCGTATTTCCATGAGAGCTTTTGTATCTTTGCTAATCTTTTCACTTTTGGTGTCATTTTTCTTGCAAAATTTTAGTTGTACGTTTCTAACCGAGTCTGTTATTAATTTATTGTGATCGTCGATACTTAGAGGTTTGGGATTATTACTCTGTAAAGTTTCGGCTATATTTTTTATGTATGCTTCTGGATGATTTGGTGAATTCCAAACTATGCGTTTGCAACTGTTTATCATCTTTGCTCTTTCTTTTTGTAGATTTATCGTTACTCTAGCTCTTACTGGTCTGTGGTCGCTTCCTACTGATAGTTTATTGAGTACAGTGACATCTTGATCAAATATTTTGCACGAGAGATTAAAGCCTTATACTGAAATGTTTCTAGGGGAATATCAGGCAAGATTCAGGCCTGGACGTTCAACCATTAACCAGATCTTTACACTACGACAGATCCTCGAAAAAGCGCAAGAGTTTAACATAGATATGTATCATATTTTTGTCGATTTTAAAGCGGCATATGACAGTGTCTTAAGACCAAGTCTTTACAACGCTATGAATGAGTTAGGAATTCCAAAAAAACTCATACGTTTGATAAAAGTGACAATGGCGAAGATGCTATCAGCAGTAAAAATTCAAAACGACTCGTCAACCCCATTTCAAATACATAGGGGTTTAAGGCAGGGAGATGCGCTGGCGTGTCAGCTTTTTAATGTCGCCTTAGAAAAAGTTGTACGAGACGCTAATTTAGATAGCAGGGGAACAATATTTAATAGATCAGTCCAAATTCTAGCATATGCAGACGACGTGGACATTATAACAAGAACTAGGGCGAGAACTGCGGAAATCTTAACCGAGCTAGTAGCAGCAGCAGAACGAATGGGGTTACATATAAATCAAAATAAAACCAAATTCATGGCGACTAACACAAACACAAGAGCTGGAAATGTTGACACAAATTTAATCATCAATGACCAAAACTTCGAAGCAGTCAATGAGTTCATATATCTAGGGACATCGGTTAACCCCAATAATAATACATCTGAGGAAATAAAAAGGCGAATAATAATTGCAAACAGGTGTTATTATGGTCTATCAAAGTACTTAGCTAACAAACGCCTGTCTCAAAAAACTCGTATAAGGCTGTATAGAACACTGAAAGTCCCCGTTCTTACATACGGATCAGAGGCATGGACGCTAACGAAAACAGATGAATCCGCTCTATCCATTTTTGAAAGAAAGGTGCTACGCAAGATATTTGGAGCGGTCTGTGAGAACGGAATATGGAGGCGTAGATATAACTTCGAACTTCAGATTATCTACAAGCATACGTTTGGTGGTAAAGATATTACCACTATAATTAAGCGAAACCGCCTGCAGTGGGCAGGACATGTAGCCCGGGCCCCTGAATCGAACATGATAAAAAAGATTCTAACAGCGCAACCTGTGGGAATGAGACGACGGGGTAGACCAAAGCTGAGGTGGATGGATGGGGTAACACAAGATGCGGAGAAGATCGGATTCGGCAACTGGAAAATTCAAGCAAGGGACAGAACAGAATGGCGTAGAAAGCTTGAGAAGGTCGAGGCCCTCTAAGGGCTGTAGCACCAAGATGATGATGATGATGATGACATCTTGAATAATTTGCTTTTTGTCTGTTATTATATAATCATATTCGCTCTTAGTTCTTCCGTCTGGACTAGCCCACGTCCATTTTCTATTTTGTTTCTTCTTAAAAAAGGTGTTCATTGCATAAAGTTTGTGTTGCAGTAGAAAGTTGGTAAGCATTTCGCCTTTTTCGTTCCTTACTCTGATTCCAAAATCTCCGATTGCCACTTCTTGTTCGTCCTTTTTCCTTCCGAGTTTCCCGTTAAAATCTCCCATTATCAGATTGTAATGAGCCGGTTCCTGCTTTTTTGCTCTTTCGATTTCCTCATAGAAGGCTTCGACAATTTCATCTTTGTAATCGCTGGTGGGGGCGTATACCTGGATTATTTTCAGATTGTATCTCTTATTTAGTCTTAGATTTATATACATAACTCTTGGGGAAATGCAGTCAATGCTCTGCATATTTTTCTGTAATTTTTTGTGTACTAATAAATCTATTCCTCCAGTTGTCGATTCTGTTTCCCCTTTATAGTGGAATATGTTTCCTGATTTTAGTTTGAATTGATCTTCACCTCTTCTTTTGACTTCGCTAATTCCTATAATATCCCATTTCACATGTTTGAGTTCTTCCTTCAGTTCTGTCATTTTTTCATCCTGAGATAAGGTTCTTACATTATATGTTTTCTTGAATGGCTGTTCATGCTGAGGGGGTTTTGGCATTTAAACACCACGCTTACCAGGCGAGTTGGTGAGTTGGTTTGGGAAATTGGTAGGATAGTAGGTATTGGGTAGGAATGGGGTTAGGACGTGATTTCTCTCCACAGGAGTTGAAAGAGAATCAAGGATCGGGCGTAGGGCAGGATCGCATCCCTGAAGTAAGTCTATCCTCCACTGGGATTGTGGAAGAGTACCTACCTGCTACCACCAAATCAATGTACCCAATAAGAAATACTATTATCATCTACAGATTGTATATGTACACCCACTTGTCTTAAACCCAAGTTCAATTTCATAAAAAATTGTATATTAATATAAATGAACAGCAATAAAATTATCTTACAATTAATACTACTTGCAGACGAAAGAAGCTTTCAAAGAAAATAAATTTAATACTTGTTACAATCAAGTACAGTTAAATTTTGCTTTAACAGCAAACCCCAGCTAACAATATGATGACTAATCACTGTATCATAATAATTTATTTGTCTGTTGTTATTTGCACACTAAGCTCAAGTGTCTGATAGCTCTGTTCACCACTAACTATATGTTCAATACCCGGTGGTGGTAAGTGGCATAGATCACTTCACTCCAAAAATAAAGATTGTGAATTCACTTAGCATCCTTTCACACTTTAATATAAGCCATTTAAAACAACATATTCACTTAGATCTCTTCATTACAATATGAAATCTTTCTTTCTGATTGCGATGCCCTAGTTAGCTAATTTTTAAGAATAGGTCTATTTTATTCCTGTTTAGAATTTCAGAGTATACATGATTCCTTAAAACTGTAAAAGCCAGTATATATGAGCACAGAAATTTAATTTAGAATTTAACTGAACACTTACTTAAATTTCTCACATTTGATACAGCTTAAGTGTTTCATCAGGTTGTTCATTCCTCTACAAAATCTAACAACACACTTTTTGACTACTGGAAGCAATCACCAATATCATTAATTATAACAAGAAGATGTCCTAGGTGAGAACCTTGAGGCACCCAGAAAGGTATTTTATTTCACAAGATGAAAAATTGTTCACCATGACAATAAAGAATATGTTTGAAAGGGAGGTGGTAAACCAGTTTAAAAACAAACCAGTAATTCCTAACTCCAATTTTCTCATCAGAGCAAAATGATTAACTTTATCAAACACCCTAGAAAATCCATATAAATTTACATATATGTAAAAACATTCAACTCAGTTGATTTATCCTTGTGAAAACCAAATTGTTTATTAATTATAGTGCCTTTAAACAATGCAGTCATGTATTTTGTAATAATACCATCAAAAAGGTTTGGAATAATATAACTAAGACACAGTAGCAGCTGAGTTAAATTAGACACTAAAATATTTCTGGTGTTTCTTCATTTCAATGAAGAATGTGGCCTACTTAACCACTGGAAATTTCTCCCTTTACATTTTTAACTTATGCTATTAAATATAATAAAAATACATACATACTTTATATTCATCTACTCTTGAAGTTTCTGGAAAGTGTAGTCTTCCAATGAAAGTATGAACAAATCTGCTTTTAATGCCATGCTTGTACAAACTCTCTGCAATGAATGAAGAAACATAATTTTTCCCACTTCCAGCCCAACCATGAAAACTTATGGTTAAAGGTTTATCTGGTTTAAAATATAAATGACTTTGAATAGCATCTATAGCAGATTCGGCTAAATGTTGTCCATATACTTTTCTTTTAAATGTAGCCCTTAATCCTATAAATTGCAGAATACATAAAAAATCAAAGCGAAGAATGTCTGTACTTACTTTGTATATCATCTACTATATCATTTTTATTACAACACTCTCCAAACCAACAAATAGGATTCCATATTATTGGATGTACTACTTGGATACATAATGTGAATATAAGGAATAAATAAGTTACTTTGGATACCTCCATAACAACAAATTAATAAAAGACTATAAAAGCTTTAATTTATATGGTTAAAATGTCAGATCACAAGCTAAGAGGTTAGTTTTCCAAATTACAGAATTCAATTTAATACAATTAAACAAAAATAAAACAACATGCTGTTGCTGTGACAATGTGACAACGTGCCCTCAGAAATCAGCTGTAGACAGGTGGACATGTGGATGTGGATGTGTGGATCACAAATTTTGGTATTTCACACAAAATCTACTAGATAGGCAACATTGAATTCACACAATATGCAACAATAATAAAAGCTGGTAATTTTAATTCACAGGTGATTGATATCAATGCACAAGACTCTATTTATATCAACGTTAATTTATGGACCAATATTGTAAAGAAAATGGAAAGATCATGTAAATTTTAATTACTTAGTCCTATTTTCTACATTTTATACGAAAACATAAGATTTCGGAAGAGACCACTTTCTTGTCGCCTTAAATTTTTTTTGGCGTATTGTTTTTAAAATATTTCCTTACTTTTTAAAATTATAAAATATCGAATGACAGCAATTCATTTTTAGTTTTATTTTAGTTCCGCATTTATCAAACTGATGTCACTGGAAGAAAAGATACCAAGATGACGATTTTAGCGCATGCGTTTAATAAAATTATATTAAGTTGACGTTTCTTGTCAAAGGGGCGTACAAATTATCAACAAAACAGACGCCATTTTGCTAAAATTGAAATATCCAACAAAGTAGAAAGAGATTTGAAATAAATCTAAAACATCCAAGCTTTTTTTGGGAACGTATCGGAAGTAATGTGTCTGTGATAAATAGTAAAAATTATAAAAGCGATATTTTCGTCAAAACTGATATGTATTAAATTTATCTTTTGTGTTATTAAAGGGAGTTAAACGTAACTAAAGAAGAAAAACTAATTAGTGATTTAAACATGAGTACGAAAGATGATGAATACGATTATTTATTTAAAGGTAAAGTAATAGCAATTCCGAATTTTTGTTGTTAAGTTCAGCTAGTTACAAAAAAGAAAAAAAATTGACATGTCATCAAATCAGAGGTCAAGTTGTTTCCATAAAATGACAGCAAAAATATACAGACAAATTAAAATTCCTATGATTCTCAAGAAATCAATAATTCTCTAAATAGTTCAGTCTTAATTTGAAAATTATTTCTTGATCACTTAATTGGAACATAACTTTTGTTTTTAGTTGTCCTTATTGGAGATTCTGGCGTAGGAAAAAGTAACTTATTGTCACGATTTACTAGAAATGAATTTAATTTGGAGTCTAAATCTACTATAGGTGTCGAATTTGCTACTAGAAGCATACAGGTATGTATTTTACTTTATTTCTAAATTAATTCCTTTATTAGTCATACCTTTTATTTGTATTGCATTAATCATGAGTCAAAATCAAGTCATAGGTTTTAATAATGGTTTAATGATCCAACATTTTATATTTTTAATGAAACAACTATAGATTTTAGAGATGACTATGCTATATATAAAATTATTGCTCTGTATGCACAAAAGTTGCCAGCTGACCTGTTACATGTGTGATCTGTATATAAAGTAGTGTTTTGTAGAACACAGTTGGCAGTTAACACATTTTATACATTTGTGGATTGCTAATGAGTTCAACCTAATGATGTTCTAACTGTTTATTGCACTTTATAAGTATTTTATATAGGTTTAGAATTAGTCTTAATCAAACCACAATTTAGGATTTAAACTAGGTAAAATTTAAAGCCTTAGTAATTATTTATCCACATTTTGTTTTTACTTCAATATCACTGCTTGCTTTTTATTTTGTAGCATGCCAAATACATTTACATAACATTACAACCAACTTAAGTTGGTTGACTAAATTGATTCTGCTTCTTATCCATATAGCACATTACCTGATTTTCATATCGTCAGGTGACAAGTAAAACTCACTATCATATTGAAAGAACAGAGATATTGTAGTTTTAAAGCATATTCCAATGTACAAAATCCATTTTTTAAACATTAAGATGTTTAAACGGAAAGTAATTATTTTGAGAAACAATTTAAGCCAACTTATCTTATGGTTTTTATTAAAAAAATGTGTATTTTTGAAGTTTTTGAAAAAAATGTAATTAATGAATTTTATTTACCGAAAGATTGTCCAAAAACTCATGCTATGACAGAAGATATACTCAGTGAAGGAAGAGAGGAATGTAAACTTGATGCTATAATAGACAGTAATTATTTTTGGTTAACAGTTTAAACTATCATATGTTATAGAGTTTTGATTTAAAGATTGTGTATTTTTGACGTGTTTGAGAAAAATGTAATTAGTGAATTTTGAATGTAAATGAGTTTTAAACATATTTTTACTTATTAAAGTAATTCTTACAATTTAAGAACAGCAAACAACAATAAATACTGATTAAGTCAACTACCTGTACTAAAATATCCCACAAAATATCATTCAATTATGACCTGCCGGGATCTTCTCAAAATTTGCAAATAATAAAATATTTCTCTATGCTAGAGCAATCCGAAACTGTTTTCAAAATGCTCACTGGTGGACATTAAGCACTTCTACAGTGAGAAAGTTGAGGGAGTTTGGTCTAAGGGCTTGCTGCCCAGCAACAGGACCTTGTTAACAGCAGCACTTCTAAGATGCCGACTTGAGTTTACTAGAGACCACTAGCATTGGCCGATAGAAGATTGGAAAAATGTTTTGTTCAGTGGTGAGTCCAAGATGGTTCTTTATGGCTCAGACAGTCGTATCAAAATATACTGAAGATATTGGGAAATATATGCTGCATGTGTTCAATAGCATGTGTTGCTTTTAGAGGAGGCTCAATAATATTTTGGTAGACATTTCATTCAAAGGGAGTACTGATACCGTGTTTATTAATAGAGGAGCATTGTTTTCCGGCTCAAAGCCTGGAGCTGAACTCAATTGCTTGTTAGTTTTGAACCCACTCAAAGAAGAGTAAGAAATACCTGCTCCAATAATTTCTGATCAGCTTTGGTTGGTGCTCATGGTTGCCTTTCCTCAAGACAACATCCAGAATTTGATCAATTTGAAGTCAAATGAGGATGTAATTTAAAATAAAGATGTTAATAGAGAATATTAAAAATCACAGCTTTATTGTAATTTTTATAAAGAAAACAGAAAAAAATTGCAATGTTAATTTTTTAAATTTTCCATTAAAATCACCATTTTTGAGAAGTTTTTTTTCTTGACATTTGTTATTTAAGAAAAGATTGCGTACTGCTTTAGATTAAGCCACATTAATTGTGGCTTAATCCAATATAAATATATTTGGCAATAGTAATTTCTTACAATTTGCTGATACCATAGTTGGTCCATTTAATTTTCAAGAAGAATGATTGTTTAAAATAATAATAATAATTGTGTACTAAAAACTTACTATCGAAAAGGTTATCGTTTTTAAAAATCACAACAGCAGAATCTATAAATATCAGCTATATATAAATTGTTTCCTTATTTTTGTTTTTATATATTAATGTTTCTGATAAAAAAGTTCTTTCTGTACGAACTATCTATTAAATTTATCTTTTTAGGTTTTGTAGTATTTATTAAACTTAAAACTTGATTAAAAATATGTATACAAATGTATATGACTGTCCATTTTTTTATCTAATGAAAAATGCTACTGTTGTGAAAAATAATGCATTTTAAAATTATTCTCTAATGATTAATTGAAAGAAACTGCAAAATACACAAATATTCAGATTATGAAAATTTTACTTTTGGATTATGAAATATGTGATATGTTTGAATTTTCACCCATTATTGTCAGTGGTATTATCTAAGCTTTTTGTCTAATGGAAATAAACAGAGACTGGCTTTTGTGATATCTGTCAGATTACCTCCATGATTTATTTATTTATTTATGGGCTTCGCTATTTATTTGCGCTATGGGAAAAAACATATTTAAAGAAAAAAAATTTTTTTTAGACGCTGTATTGCTGCAAAAAATCTGAAAAAATTAATTAAAGCTTAGTTTAATAATACAATACTACCTTTTTTTTTTCAAATTTTTAGCTTGAAAATTAAGCCAAGGAAAATTATTTGAAATTTTCAGTAATATTTTAGGTTATGTTGGAAATTTTTGGCCAACTTTAAAACAATGTTTTTTTATGGGTTTTTTCCCGTTCTTTCGAATGGCATAGGTATTATTATCATTTTCAATGTGGAAAATGCTCAAAAATCGAAAAAACTGCTTTTTTGGCATTTTTCTGAAGCACCCCCACCCCTTAACAATAAATTGTAAGGGCCTAGGAACAAAACAAAAAAAAATAAGTATTACATAGAAAACAAAAAATTTATTTATACTGCGATAAGATACAATATCAGTTTTTATAAAATAAAAAAAATATTAATAAAATAAGCATAAATTATGTTTTTTAGTGAGATGGATGACTCATAACCTTAACAACATACATCTACATTAATAATAATTCATATTTTTATATGTATTCTTACCTTTACAATCGAAACAAGCCATTAAAACTATTATTTTTTTCCTAAAGCATGTTAAAAAAAAACGAAAAACCCCGTTTTTTCGGCGTTGTTTTTAAGCTTTCGCTATATAACCTCTAAAGTCAGTGTCTAAATGATGTATCTTTTCCTGTACAATCAAAATCAGTTATTCACAAGCATTAGTTTTATCTCACAACTTTCTTAAAAACCGAAAAACCCCATTTTCTCCATGTTTTTACTACATAACCTCAAAAGACTCTGAAAAATGAATTGTGAATTAGAACGCACTTGTACACTCAAAAGTTATGGAATTATAAGCTAGCGAATATATCTACATATATACGTGATATATCACAATGTACATGCATTTTTACACAAACGCATATCTAAGTATATAGTTCGATGACTTTTGAGGTCCTTGTTATATACATTCATAAGCCCATACCATGCTCGTCTATGCCTTACTCTTCCGCTTAGATACAAGAGCCTTATACCCATGCTTATATTTTTATTTTATATTTTATATGTACTTAACTGTTTTGGCCTTCATGTCTTAGCCCGACATCACGCATATCCAGGGAGCCTGATTGTAACAGAAAACATGGCGTTGATAGTTGCGCCGCACGGTAGTTGATATTAGGCGCTGCAACTATCAACGCCATGTATATATGATATAATCAGACTCGCATTATATATTGCTCTTAGTGCGTTTGCGTGTGTAGGGCCATATCCATATGTGTACAAGTGCGTTCTAATTCACGATTTATTTTTCAGAGTCTTTTGAGGTTATTTAGTAAAAACATGGAGAAATTGGGGTTTTTCGGTTTTTCAGAATGTTGTGAGATAAAACTAATGCTTTGAATAGCTGATTTTGATTGTAAAGGGAAAGATACATGTGAAAATGTAAATTACCATTCATTTAGACACTGAATTTAGAGATTATATAGCGAAAGCTTAAAAACAACGCCAAAAAACGGGGTTTTTCGTTTTTTTTTTTAGTATGCTGCAGGAAAAAAATAATAGTTTTAATAGCTTATTTCGATTGTAAAGGTAAAAATACATATAAAAATATGAATTAACATTAATTTAGGTGTATGTTGTTAAGATGATGAGTCATCCATCTCACTAAAAACCTAATTTATGTTTATTTTATTAATAATTTTTTTATTTTACAAAAACTGACATTATTGTATCTTATGGCAGTATAAATAAATTTTTTGTTTTCTATGTAATACTTATTTTTTTTTGTTTTGTTTCTGGGCCCATACAATTTATTGTTAAGGGGTGGGGGTGCTTCAGAAAAATGCCAAAAAATCAGTTTTTTCGATTTTTAGACATTTTCCACGTTGAAAATGATAATATTACCTATGCCATTCGAAAGAAGGGAAAAAATCCATAAAAAAACATTGTTTTAAAGTTGGCCAAAAATTTTCGACATAACCTAAAATATTACTGAAAATTTCAAATATTTTTCCTTGGCTCAATTTTCAAGCTAAAAATCTGAAAAAAATCAGGTAGTATTGTATTATTAAACTACGCTTTCATGAATTTTTTCAGATTTTTTGTAGCAATACAGCGTCTAAAATTTTTTTTTTTTTTTTAAATACGTTTTTTCTCATAGCAAACCCCCAGAGGCACCTAGGAACTTGAGTGAGTTTTTTGAGTGAACTTTAACTGAGTGAGTTTTTAATTATGTCCTTTCGAATTTCCATGCCCAAAACTGAATTGAGCATGGTGCAATTTGACCATCTTATCCCGCTATAGCCTTTCATAAATACAAAATAAAATCTAAAATTTTTCTTAAAACAACTGACAATACTAAAGAACTCAGGCTACATGTAGTTTC